AAACTAGGAAATTTATGACGGAAAGTGTAGTTCTTTTTCTCTGGGTGGTCATTAAAATCACTTCGCGGATCCATTGAAGCGTGGTAACTATAAAGAAAAGATTTATGAGATGATATGATTTTACTTATCAAAATAAAACTGGACATTTCGCTTTCGTTTTTTATGTTTTTAAGAATATCTATAAGAAATTGAAGAGAGAGAGTATTAAGAATATGTTCATATAGTGAGAAGTGTTAGAAAAATGTAAGCATTAACTTATATTTTAAAAGCTTAAAGTAAAATTTATTTCTGAAGTATCGGTAATAAGCTTATACAAAGAATATATTAAAACTATATTTTTAAATGAATATAATATTAAGATCTAATTAAAGATCTCCCAAAATATCTTACATTTTATAAGCATTTATCTATAACCATCCATCACATGAGCTTTATATACGTATGTATGTATTTTCCCGACACTTTGTGACTTTTTGAAATTGCGGAAAATCGTTTTGCGCAGCGTTGACATCTTATTACGGCCAATAACGAAATAAGCAAGGCAATTAAGTCGGCTGCAGCTGACGCCCCCGCAAACAAATAAACTTTGCAGCAGATGCCTGGCATTTGAATCCGTATCCGTAAGATACATTTCATTCTGGGCGGTCGCATGTGCAAATGTGCCACTCGAGCTGTGCGTCTGTGAGTCTGTGTGTCTGGTCTTCCTTAATTAGTGGCAAGTTTTTGCCTCCGTTCTCGGTCTTCAGACCATCCAGATATGCCGGCAAAAGATGAGCTACAAATTTCTCAAATGTCAACACCAAAACTGAGATGCTGCCGTTTTTGCATCTGGCCCCCAAATGAAATGTACATTTTTCATGGCCTTCTTGTTGCATTTGTTAATGCAGACTTGTCATTTATTAATAGTCAAGTTTCCCTGAGAAGCCGAGATGCTGCTAAAGATATTGATGAAGACTTCAGTAGATCAATCAGCAGGCAGTTCATTTGCTGCCAACAGTTGGCCCACATATATATGCACTGCATACCGTATACTTTCCCGATTATCTGGAGGATCTTTTCTTGGGCACTTCATTAGCCGGTTGACAGCTGCTAATGAACCTTTCAAAGCACAACCTCCTTTTGCGGCAAGTTCATTGAACGATTCGGCCGGCGTGCACGAAATTGCGAAACCAATTTACAATGGTATTACTTTCATTTAAGTGGGCAGGGATTGCAAAGCTGAGGGTGAGATGCTACCCTTTTGGGGAAATATTTTAAAATTTTGGGAGGGAATAATGGAAGATTTGGGTGGAATTTATTGTACAGTTCCTAACTCAATGTTCCTAATGTGACTTAAACTTTTTGTTAAAGATTTTAGTTTTAATAGTGATTTTACTGTTATTTTTTATTTCGTTATTTGATAATAATATGATATAATAAGTATAACATAATATACATAGGTTTTATATAAGTATTAACTATTATTTAGGGAAGTTTTCCCGTTTTTATGGTAGTTACTGCTATTTACTTTATTTTTTTGGATAGTATATCCTCAAAATTCGAATACCTACCTTTGGAATAATTTCCCCGGGTATCGAAATTTCTTTCCCCTTACAGGACCAACTTAAATTGCAGCGATAAGCTTTAAACTGCGCGTACTTCCGGCACGCTGGGCCCGACTCCTTGGGTATACATATACCCATATAAATATATATCGCAGACAAAGTATATAGCACATGTATTTTGAGTCCAGCTCGGAAAGTGTTGGCAAGGATATGCTTAAACATGCAAATTTTCAATATGCAGACAAAACAGACACAGCCACAACATGCATGCCTGCCCAGAATCGCCGATGTGGATGTGGATGTGAATGTGGACTTGTGGACTTATATAGACTGGGTGGGGTGACGGGTGAAAATTTTCACTGGCGGAACGTGAAATGCAATTGGGGCCATCGCCATTGCCATCCCCCCTTCCCCAACCCCCCTTTCATCGGTCCCCCTTTCGATGAAATTGCCCGATTGTGTTGAAGTGTGATGTAGGCTTCGCTTGTTGGCCGGGCCAAGAGGCCTTTGGCACATTTCTGTGTCGTGAAATTAATTTCTCCACTCCGCTCTTGTTAAAAACAGCTCTTTATTTCGTATATGATGTGTGTATGTGCCCTCAAATTACCATAATTAAACAGGACTGACCAGGGGCTACGTAATGCCGTCTAGTTTGCACACATCACGGCCTTTTAAAACTCATTTCGGGATTTTAATACTTAGTACTTAGCTAGTTCTAACAATTAAACAAAAACTATGGTTATATAAATAATACTTTTTTAAAAGTTAGTACAGTAGAATATCATTATAGAACCGTTTAAAAACAATTTTTAGCTTTACAAAATATGGCTTACTATTATTTACAATTAAAGAACTGCAAGTAAAACATTTTTCCAGACAAACCCTTATATTTTTTCAAATTCCCTGACATTTTGGTTTCACTACTGCCATTCCTACCATCCCTCCTCAAGATACTTGTCCATAACTATCATTTATCATCTCAAAACACACGCGTTTACCACTCAGGAATGAAAAGCCACAAAAAAGTTGCCAAATCATGGGACCGAACGATTCGTCCGCTGGCTAAATGTACTTGTATCTTCATTTGACATGCTGACGTTTGTAGCGTGGTTTTTTGTTGTTACTCTTCCATGTTGGTTCTTTGATAAATTGAATAAATTTGATGGTATAATTAACTCATGTTCGTGGCTAATGTGAACGCGATCCGCCCTCGTAATTAAGTATCTGGTTATTCCATCAAAACGGTGAAGTGGATCACAATATTTTATAGCATGAACTAAAAGTTTATAAGCTTTAAGGATACCTTTCTTCTGAGGCAGAAATAAATCCGAACCAAAAGATAAAATTTATGCGGAGGAATAACAACCCCGGGGTGAAACCGAAATGCACGAAAAATAATTTAGATAAAGGTTAACATAATTTTGATAAGGCGGCCACAGGAATTTATATGCTCGCACCTAACTGCAAATTGTGTGTAATGAGCTAAGCGGCGACCACCTTTCCAGGACCCTCTATCCCAAACCTTACTTTGTTTCTGTGTTTTTTATACTCTCCCTCGCAGTTAGTAGCACCTTTCATGTTTTCTAAGCCCGAAGAAGACATAAATTTGTTAGCGCCTGCCAGGTCAAGATCCCAAAACTCATCCTTTTGGGGGTGTTTTGTGTCTTCTTCTTTTTTCTGCCTCCTGTTTTCCTGTCCCGTGCCCAAAAACACAGAAAAATTAGTCGGGAGATATGATGTTAAGGTTGTGCCGCCTGCGAGATCGGTCGCCCGAGATAGCCTGCTTCATATTTATGTTGGAAATTAGGCAAATTTTTAGTAGCGAGATAATTTGTGTACGACTTTGTCGCAGTGAGTGAGAAAATTCTAGGTATCTGTGGGTTTCTCTGTGGCTAGAAGGTAAATAACATTTTGTAACGCTTTGCAAGGCAGGATAACACAATTTTTATGGATACAAGTAGAGGGTTATTATTGGAGAAATGTATAAAATATTTGATGGCTATTGAAATGTGGTAAAAATTTAATTATTTTCTTTAATAGCTCGCAAACTTTATAATTAAGAAATATAACTACTGGATGTGATAGGCATACCAAACCTTGATAGCCTTATAATTAACGTTGGTAATAACTTGATATATTTTTCATAACAGTATGACACTTTCTCACAGTTTTTCCCGAACTCAACCACCGACCTGAACTTAGTAAATTAAGACATTTGGAAAGTTTGTTGGTTGGTTGGTCAAAAACGATTTTTTAATTGTAAGCTTCAGAGTGTATAATTATTGGTTAGTTATCGGTTAGGTAAAAAGTCTTAGCTCCAAGTTTATATAAGCCATATTTAAATGTTGGCCCGGCCCCTTCTCAGTAAACCTCTGCCTCTGCTTTTCTGACCCTCTTTTTAGAGGCCCATTTGGATTTTTGCCTCATGGCCTATGGGCTAGTAAATTAAGTTATTAAATATTTTAGCCATATGTTTCATGTGATTGAGTGTTTGGTATGTGATTAAAAACGATTGACAGAGTGGTCTAGAAGTAGATTGTCAAATGTGAGAATGATAAGGGGGTTGCAAAAGGAACAACATTGGGGTATTGTAAATAAAAATACTAAGTATTAACAGAAAGTTGCTTAATATTTTGGATAATAGATCAGAACTACCGTGAGAAACCCTTTTATACTTTATTTAAGATTAGGTATTTTAAATAAAAATACTAGATATTAACAGTAAATACATCAAAGTTTTAAGTTTTAGATCTAGTGTTGATCATACCATATTATATTTTTTAAACACCAGTTTTATTAGCGACATTTTACAAATTAAAATCCACTTTAATTCGCCTTGTAAACAACTCCGACAATGTTCGCTACCCATTTATCTGCAGATAAAGTCGCGATGTGGAACCCTTTCTGACAAACAACACTTTAAAATGTTAATGGCCGTGTAAGAGCAGCCCCACAGAAATTAATAACAAACGTCCATGGGGCAGACATACATCATTAGAAATTGATGACGCATGTCGCGTGCAACTGCATCCATTGTCGATGGCATGCAACCCTTTTATGGCTTACACTCGTAGTTTATATGGCCAAAGCAGCAAACATGGTCTAAAACACGGAGTAGTAATTAATTAGACTTTCATAAAGAGTACAAAATTCTATAAATTATATTTCATTGCCGTTCCCAAATGTCAGTGGCCATGCGCGACTGCGCATCACGTGTTGCAGGTTGTAGGTTGTTGGTTGCTCCCCCCGGCAACCTGCAACTGGCAACACTAGCAACCTGCAACTAGCAACCTGCAACTAGCAACCTGCAACCCCACCCATCAGCAGAATTAACGTTATTAATCGCTGGCCATATTTTCAAAAACATTTATTGCCCCGCCATTGCAATTGCATGTTGGCAGTTCGCTGAGGTACTAAAACAAATGTATGACTTTTAATAAATATAAATAAGAGCCATTCGCTTTGTGTTATAAATTGTTTATTCATTTTCGCTCCTTCTCGCTCTGTTTTTGCACATAATTTAAATAAGTGTTTATAGTAATTGGTTTTTGCATTTGGGTAGGGGAGTGTCTAGAGGATTTAATTCAGCGTGGAATTCTCACAATAATTTGCAGTTTTAGGAACACATGGGGACGACAACAAAAAACACAGCAAAAAGTGGGGTATGCATACTGCTAGGCCTAATTAAATTAACTAATACTGTTATAATGCTACGAAAATTACAATACAGTGAAACCGGTTAAGACGGTCTTCTAGCTTAGCATCACATGCAACATCGAATGCTTCTTTGGATGTTGCAGCTACATTTTCGGGGTTATTTACAAAGGGTTTTCTTTTCTTTTTTTGTTCAACAACATTGCACATACATTTCTTCGATATTCTGGTGTGGTCTTTAAGTCTTTTGAAACTGCGGCATTTTATTAGAATATTTTGATCTTGAAACTTCAATTATCTGCCTGGTATTTAAATACTAAATTTGGTTTTTGAAAAAGTAAAATCTTTAATAAAATCATTGTATTATTGCACTTCACAAATAATAAATACATTAAAAAATCCTCATTGACACATTTTTATGATGGAAGTATGTACTTCTTTTGATATCTTTTTAAAATCATTCATTTTGATTATTTTATTCTTGATATTTTGATTTCAATATAGATTGATTGATTGATTATTGCACAGATTACATCGTTTGATTGTGATATCTTTAGGATTTGGTATTTTTACATACTTAAAGACCACATCAAAGTATTTTTTTGGGTGGGGCAAAGAGGGGAATGGGTGGTGTTTAGGGTGGTTTAGTTAAGTTTAGTTGGGTGTTTTAACAGTGGTATCCTAAGGACTTTCCGCCCTATTTGAGGCTGGTGGCGAGGCCTGATGCTGGGGCACCTGATAGGGACTGAATCGCTGAGGATAGTGACTCAGTTGGGGTCTTGCCCTTAAATCCGGTGACGCCGATCCACATGAGGATGTGGGCGTGGCAGGGGCGGGAGGCGCCACCGCCATTGGAGGGGGTGGCGTTCGATTGGCGCCCGCCGCCGCCAATGCCAAGGCCGCCTGCTGATTGGCGCTGGCCAGGAATCCGGCCGTGAGTTGCGGCCACTGTTGTTGCCACATGCCCAGCTGAAAGGCGCTGAGGTGCGGGGCCTGTGGGGGCGGGGGCGGTGCCGCCGATCGCTGGTACAAATGCGGCAGCAACATCTCCGTGTACGGCGATCGACCAAACATCTGCAAGTGCTGACGGGCCTTCTCCAGCAGCGCCAAGGAGGCAGCATCCGCCTCCTGGGGAGTCAACTGGGACATCAGTGGGTCCGGGAAAAACCGCAGAGGAGCCGTTCGCATGTGCTGGTCGAAAAAGAAGGCATCCATGGGATCCCTGAAAAAGTGGTTGGACATATATAAAATTCTTATGAATTTCATTGGAAATTAACAGATATATTAGATAGATAGATAGATAGATATATTAGATTGTTAGTGCATCAACGTTCAACAATATATATTGCCCTTCTCATAAATTGAATCTGCTATTCTCTGGATGAATCTCATGTGGTTGAGTTTTATCAATTTGGGCGGTTTAAAAATATACAACAGCAGATCCTTAAAGTATGACACATATGTAGTACTTTATGGATAAAATCGTTTAATATATCTTTATACAAAATATCCTACTTTAGATGGAAAATTCCAAAATATTAAGAGGAGCGCAGTAAGATTGAATCAATAAAATAGTCGACTAATATTTAAAAATATATATTTTGATTTTCAAAATAAATACATTTTTGGTTCTTATCAACTTAAACAATAAGAGCTCTGGATCTCCAAAACCCATTGCCACTCCATTAAGTTCGAGTTGCAGACAATGCCAATACCAATTCCAATTCCGACTCGGGGAAGTTCGAGCTTGGAGAACTTGGAGAAGAGGGCTTGGACTGTCAGAACCCGATGAGCAACTTGTTGCTGCCGCCACTTCAGCCGGAGCAATAACATAATTACGTCGAAAGTAACTGCCAATTGCCGACACTAAACAACAGGAACAACAACACCAGCAACACCAGCAACAAGAGCCACATTCACTCATTATTTTCGTGTTTTCATTTCATGTACGAATCGGCATCAAAGTTAAAAGCGCCGATCTGTAATTTACGCCACTTAAGCCGCCGCCGTGCCGGCTACAACAGCAACATTGCTCTTGGTGTTGCTGCCGTGGCTGTTGGTGTTGCTGGTGTTGCTGTTGCTGCTGCTGCTGTGCCCATGTTGCTGCTGGCGGCAGAGCATTTGCCGTCTTAATAGTCGCCGCCTTGCAACACTTTGAAGTCGCTGTCGAAAAAAGGGCAGCAGTCCTCGCAAATGCTGGAAAAAATGTTGACTTTGGCCTGATCCTGACGGGAGTAGGGCAAAATGTTGCTGGTGTGCAGAAATGTTGCAAGCAGTTCTTAATGAATAAAATCGACTATTTTATTAATGAAAAAAAAATTTCAATAACGGAAATATATGTTTTAAAATATTTTTAAGCCTCTACTCAAACAGCACATATTTTATTTAAACTTCTAAGATCACAAAATAGGTTTAGCATAATGTCAATACTGATTTTTATAAATTTTTTTAAGTTTTAAAATATTTTAATGTTACAGATGTATTTCTCTGCACTTGAAACGCAGTGAAAATATTGACCTGATCTTTTAATAACTAAATAATTCTGAATTGCTTATTATTCCAAAGGCTAATAAAACGCTGACTTGACCTTTAATAAATTATGAAATACACCCTGATTTTACTCAACTTGCTATTTTTCTTTAAAGATCACAACTTTGCTTATTAAATAGCTAATTCATATCATATACTTATACTTTATCCTTTAAATGTGTTGACTTGATAAAATTTCTTTAAAATGTTTCACAAGTAGGTCAGATTTTATTCCCTGAATTTCCTGACTTGACTGGCTCTGCCTTAAAGATTGTAAACTACTGTGTGTATCCAAATCACACACCGAATTCGGCCATATAATCATATAAGTTCGATCCGATTGATCGCCGGTGCTGCACGTTGCATGCTAATTGAGGATGGAGGAACCTGCAGGAGTCGCCTTGCCGACTGGCACTTTCACACATTTTCGCTAATCAGCGGCAAGTTGGGCTACTGTATCGGCTTTACGGCTCAACAGGCCATCGTAAATTAGGCCATAAATCAGACATGACCCCATAAACTGCGAAACGGGGGCAACTACCAGATACTGCCAGACACTCAGTGGAATATCTGAAGAACCGAGGGGGAAAACTCACCTATCAAAGTCGCTGAGACGCGACGAATCGCGAAATCCCTTCGCAAACGGATTCGAATCGATTTTCAGTTTCGTAATCAATTGATTCTGATAGGCCGTCACGGCCGTGAACACGGTCTCCGGGAAAACGAAGGTTTTATGGTCCATATCCTGCAGCTCCTTGGGATTGCCGGGGATGCTCTGGCCATGGCTCAAACGCACCAAGTGGATCCTGGGCTGGTAGCGGTGCATTGAGTTCAGCACGACCTGTGGAAGGGATTCGGAAAAGAAGAAAAATTCCCTGAATGCGAATTGTTTGCTGTGTGTATTGCTTATAAAAAATGTACGTCCATAAAAAAGTAGTCGACGTTTGTTTTGACTGTCCTCACAGCGTCTTTTTACACTCCGCCCCCATCTCACAAGCCCCAGCCTTTATGGCCGTGATAAAAACGGTAGCAGGCTCGAAAATCCCGGAAATATATATGTGAACAGGGTCTTGAGCCTGCCTCTCGTATTTGCCACCAAATTGCCAACAATTTTCATTCATTTTTGTGCGCGCGCAATGCCATTTGCATATGTGCATTCGTATGCGGCATTGTTGGCAACACTGGCTGACCCCTTTTGACCCCGCCGATTCGGAAGACAATGCCAAGACGCCCGCCAGTTTATGTGTTTGTCTTCCGGCCTAAATTATTCATAACTGAGTCATGACATGAGTGAAGTTTGGGCCATAAAAGGCTGAAAGGATGTTGCTACTTGTTTTGAAGAAAAAACTGAGAAATAAGCCTAAATTTGTTTGTTTTCTTAAAATTGTTATAATAATTTAAAAGATTTTTTGGGACTAATATTTTGTTTAATAAATTAGACAATAGTGATTAAAGTTTTGAGTTAATTTATAAAAGAACACTTATGATGATCAAGATCATTTTAAGAAAAAAAACAATACAACTACAACAAAAACAATTTCCTTATAGTTTTCCCCATCTAATTTTCCAGGTTCCTATTCATCAGGTCCCTTAAATTCCAACTTTTCGACTCACCTGTCCGCTCTTGTCCATCTCGTTGTTTGTCAACTTCACCTTTTCGAAGGAGACCACCTGTTTTCTCAGTGCCTCCGGACTTAGAGGGCAATCCGGATGGGCGTAAATACGGGCGGGGGGTGGTGGATCGGCTTTTCCGGCCACCAGCCACGAACTGCGATGGTAGGCGTAGCGGTATCGCCGCGAATCCAGCGGTACGACATCCAGAAGTACGGCATATCGGTCCGCCGGCTGAATTTGCCTCAAAGGACCCGAGAAACTCACGCGAACAGTGGGAAACATGCGTCTGAAATTGGGAAAAATAACATTTATATATTGTAGTAAATGTTAAAATAAATTAATTACAAGTATAAAGAATATTTTGAAAAACATGCAAGTACCCCAACTTTTTTCTGAGTACATGTAGTAATTGGAAAATGTTAGTGAACTCAAGGAAACGCACACAAAAAAACTAGAAAATTGTGAACTATTTTTTTTATTGCCCGCCATTGTGTTGCGACAAGAAAAAACGCAAAAAAAAAGTAGATGGCGAGCTAGCAAGGTATGTAAATAAGACGCATATTTAATTTTATGACTTTTAGCACGTTTTTGACACATTTCCGCAAGCGATGTCGTCGTCCTGAACCCAGCGGGTGGGCGGAAAAAGGGTGTGTACCGCCACCACCCACTTACTAACCACCCACCACCCCCGGAAAATCGTGTTTGTGGTCGCAGGTAAGTGTAAATGACGCTAATGACCCAGCCCAGTTTTTTGTCATTTATCTTGCGGAATGAATGCCTACAATATTGTGTTATAGTGAACCAGATATTCTGGGTTGGATAATTATAATTGATTTGCTTTCAGTTGCTTTGGTAAGCTAATTGTGCAACATTTGTTTAACAAAATGGTATTATTAAGGGGTGTTATTGGGGTTATTGAATCAAATATATATAGAGGAATTATAGATATAAAACTGTATTATTTTTCCAATATAATCCAATCAACATATGTTTCTAGACTCTAAAATATTTTCTTTAAATGGAACCCTTTCCACCAAGTAACTATGTCAACTTATTATTAAGTGTTAATTTGATCATTTCGAATCAAGAAAGGACTTTCACTGTCAAACACGCAAATACAATTTGTACCTGTCTAAGTAGGTCTAATTGAAGATTTTCTTTCTAGCACCATTTTCACCACTCTCCTACTGAAAACCCTTGTTTGTTCGGGCTGTGTTTACAGTCCATTACTGCAATGGGCGGGTCCAGTGTCACCACGATTGTTTTAGCCACTGACTAACCGTTTCGGCCGCGTATTTATCGCAGTTACCAGGCCAAAACGAATCCAAATCACAGCCTGTAATTGTGATTTGTGCTGTAAGCCGTAGGTTTCTGTTGCACTCGCAGTTGCATGCCACAATTAGCACCATTGTAGCATTGTAGCGGGCACTTAACGTGTTCCGCTTATCTCTATATCTGCACGGACCCACAGAACCCACCCAACTACCAACTAACTGACTGACTTCGCTCGAGCCTGACCGCCAAAACTCAAGAACGGAAGCCGCCAAACCGGAAGCTCCCATTTTGTTTTTTAACCCCAAAAGGAAGTGAATGAATTTCTATAAGAAGCTCATGCTACAAATTATGCAGTGAAAAAAATATCTTGAATAATACTAAGTATTTTAAAATGTTATTTAAATACATTGGATTTGAGGTCAATGAAGGGTCTATTGGAAGACGGAATTTTTTGTGTAAAAGGACAGATCCTTCTACAATATTTTCATTAATACTGTTATTATTTTTTCAATATTATAAATATTCAAAATTGATAAAACCTTCTATAGAAAAGATGATCTATTTTGGTGAGATAAAAAAAGCAGATCGTTTATTCATAAATTGTTCTATGGAATTATAACTGCATTTTTTACGTCACGTATTATTTCCAGAATTGGTTACTTTTATTTTCAACGTTTATGATTGACTGTTTTTATAGTTAATGAAATATATTTTGCTAACATATCGTTCTCACATTTAAGAACATTTTATAATATGTAAGACTTAATTTCTCCCAGTATCGAGCGAATTGTTAACACTTTTCTGATGGCTTGACCGACCTGCTAATGTGATCCATAAATGTGTGAAAGCCGAGCCACTGCCACGCCCAGTTTTGATGGTCCATATCCAATGCCCCCCCCGCTTTTCTATTTTGTTTTAGTATTTTATTTTTTTGGTTTGTGGTGTTTTTGCTGCTAGGCGGAAATGTCGTAAATCATATTCCAGCATTTACATACATTTTACGAGTTGAAGAGCCGCCCGAGGGCAGCTAAAGCAAAAGCCATTGCCACTCCCCCGACAAACTGGACTTTTTCGAGTTTCGTGGGGGGTTTTCCCAGTTCTCCCCGGTTTAGTTCGCCCGCTGGCCGAGCTTCTAAGTGTGGATTTTATGTATTTGTTTATGGGAAAATTAGGGAAATGGCTTTTACTCAGTTTTTCGGTGCGCGGCCAGAGCTTAGGTGCCAAAGGTTACAATTATGAAGTTTACACACCATTTGCCATGGGGTGGCTCGGCTTTCAATTAGTATTCCCATACATATATATGCGGTAGGAACATGTAGGAATGGCAATTCATTATCAACACCTTTGTTACAGCAAATTAAGCCTCAAGGTCTAAATTAATAAAATGCAAATTAGCCCAGCGAGTAGGCGAACAAAGCGAAACTAAAAAAGCAACCCTCGAAAATGACAAGAAGACCATAAGTTTGATCTTATCGCCGGCTGACAACACTCCCCCAGTTGACTGTCTTTTATTAGTTGATTAATTCATAACTGCAGAACCTGCACCTTTCCTATGAATAGGGATTAACTTGTTTCGATATCTGCCGGCCATTTCAGCTGCCCAGAAATATTAATGAAGTTGTGGAAATTGTTTTGAAAAATGAAATGGCAGGGAGAAATATGTATCTTGGCCTGCAAGGGGTTGGACCATGGAAATTGCAATTGCAACGCATCCTCTGAAGTCAGGCTACTGTCCTTAAATATCCTGCGGCGTCGGAGAGAAGTCGGCTAATATGCGTGAAGAGTTTGTCGCAAAATATTGACAAACTCCGGGTATTTTCGATGGGTCAACAAATAATTAGCCCGCCCTTGCAACTGCTTGCATTTCCCATTGCCATTGTCTTCCGGAAAATGCCAACCTCAAAACCGCTGACAGCGTGACAAAATCGCAAACCACGTGATATTTTATTTCAACAACCGCATGAGCACAAAGAAATCCATCCCAACCTGACACGTAACAGGTAAAAAATTCTAACTCTGACTCCTTTTTGTTTTGCCTTTTTGGCCGTAAATCATCGGAAAAGTCTCCCAGTTTTTTCTCCGTTTCAAATGTGTTGGCAATTTGCGGCGGTCTTGTCCGCTTTTCACGGTTTCTTTCTGATGAGAGCCACGCATGCGCATTTGCATGTGGAGGCAACATTTTCACAGCTGCCGAGGAGAATGGCATTTTAAATGGGCTGAGGAAGGGGAAATCTCTGGATAATGTGGTAAGAACTCTTTTTCGATTAGCAAGATATATTTGGAACTGCACTGATAAAGAAAGGGAATAGTAATTATACCCGTTACTCGTAGAGTAAAAGGGTATACTAGATTCGTCGGAAAGTATGTAACAGGCAGAAGGAAGCGTTTCCGACCCCATAAAGTATATATATTCTTGATCAGGATCACTAGCCGAGTCGATCTAGCCATGTCCGTCTGTCCGTCTGTCCGTCTGTCCGTCTGTCTGTCCGGATGAACGCTGAGATCTCGGAAACTATGAGAGCTAGGCTATTGAGATTTGGCGTACAGATTCCTGAGCTTCTTACGCAGCGCAAGTTTGTTTCAGTAGACTGCCACGCCCACTCTAACGCCCACAAACAGCCCAAAACTGTAACTCCTACAGTTTTGATGCTAGATAGAAAATTTTAACTGAAATGTATTGTTCTCATCAATACCTATCGATTGACCTGCCACGCCCACTTAAACGCCCACAAGCCGCGAAAACCTGTGACGCCCACAATTTGCATGCTAGATAAAAAATTTTAACTGATATGTATTGGTGTCGTCAATACCTATCGATTGATCCAAAAATAAATTTGCCACGCCCACTCTAACGCCCATAAAGCTTAAATCTGTCTACCGCCGGTAGGTGGCGCATTCTCCATTTCCCTTTGAGTAACGGGTATCTGATAGTCGAGGTACTCGACTATAGCGTTCTTCCTTGTTTTTAATATCTGTATATGTATTTTTTAATTTCGTTTATATATAAGATTTATTTTCATATTATTTGAGTCTAGTAAGAGAATATTACATACGATGTTAGTAATTATTACTCAAATATTTTTAAATTTAATGAAAATGAATATAGTTTTAAGATCAGAATTCTTAAAATTTTGAAACAGAACCATTACTGTAATGGCAAACCCATTTGGAACTTAAGTTGATAAATGAAAGTGGGTTCAAATTTTATATCTAAATATTTATTTTTATTTTAAATAATTTTTTAAAACTACGAAAATGGTTAAACATAAAATTTTGATAGGATTATAATTATTATTTCTCTGATTCATCTGTTATTATCTAAAATTTCCTGATACCAAAGTACCTGTTTCAGTATTTTCGCCGTTACCGAACCATATTCCCCATGACAGAGTGCAGCGAGTCATGCCATCGAGTTGACTCCGAAAGCTAAGCCCCCAGTCGTATATTTTTGCAATTTAAAATGTATCATTCACATAAAAAAGTCCCGCACTGCCACGCCCACTTGGCCACCTGGCCCGCCCCTTTCGTGGACATGTTTAGCTGGCAAACGATGTGCTGACATAGATGGATATCGTTCGGAATGGGAATTATTCTGCTACTGTTTTTGGCTTCCGCTTTTTCTGTTGCATGCGAATGCGTCAGTCAAACCCGCACAAATGTAAATAAGTGTTGGCCGCTCATCGGTATCCTTTGACTAATTACAGGGCCCAAAATCCAAAAAAAAAAAACAGAAACGCAAAAACACGAAGCCAGAGGACCAAATGTCCCAAAAGCCAAAGGACATGCAAATGCGTTATTAGCGCGACAATCGGCAGCTATTACAATGCAATTTATACTTGGCGTGGATCTCGGGATGGGGGCCCCAAAATGCGGGGCTACGACAGGAGTAAATTTGTTAATGTGTCGTAGAGGCGAAGGGGAGGGGGCAGCAGAGCCGCCTGTTGACGGCCACCAAAGGGTTAAGCAACCATAAAGCCAAACAAACAAAAGTTGCCAAGCAAAAAGGAAAGAAACAGTAGCAAAAATATGAAAAAAATTAACACTCATCAGGGTTTGGTAGTGGACTATAAGATACCTTATAAATATTAATTAACCGAAGATGTTTAATAAACATTTTTTATTAACACTGAAATATTATAAATATTTGATTTAAAATTAATTGTTATTACGGGTTAAAACCATTATTCTTTATGGGAATAAAATAAATAACAATCGATTCACGGGCTTAATTAAAAGACTTATTTAAAAGTTGGTCATGAAGGACTTCAAAAAATAATGCAATAGTCTTGCTTCAAATTTTAGAAACATTGATTTAAAAGAATTGGGTATCGAATTACTTCAACTCCCATCAAATATAGATATTTATAGTACACATATATGTATTTGTAATACAATTTTTTTTCGACTATGTTTTTAACCTATAGGTTTTTTTTACAGGTTAGCAAAGTTCCATAATGCCCAATATTATCAAAAGTAAAGCCCAAAAAAATCAACAAACAAAAGAAGGGAGATCCTAACTACCACCTAGCGACTAATGCGCATTTCGCATGTTTTCAGGGAGAGAGAGAGTAGGCCCAAAAAAGGAAATACAAAAAAGCAAAAGTTCCTTGCCCCAAAACTTGTATGTTTCATGTTCATGTTTCGTTTTTATTCGCATTTCAAAACCCCCCGTAAAACCCCCTAAAAAACATTCGCACGAGAATCGAAAATATCGTCGAGCAATAATTCCTTCAACTTTTGTTGAGTTGCGAATGAAAAGTCGTTTAACCCCGGTATTTTTCTGCGGGTATGCGTGTTTGGGTTTTGTAGGTATTGTATACCCATCTTTTTCGAACCAAAACAGCTGACGAAATGGTCGTCTTTCTTTTATTATGCTAATCGAAAATCGACGCAAATTATTTCGATGCCTTGTCAATCAAAATTTCTTGATGTAAATGAGGAACTAACCGAAAAGTTGTTGATATTTTCCAGTTAAGACGGAGGGGCGTTCAAAGGGGCGTGGCCGACGGCTTATAGCTTTATGGCCAATGTGAGTTGGGAGTTGTGAGTTTGGCTTTCCATGGGTGAAAGGCGCATTAAAGTTTTTATTGATTGTGTTTCGTTGGAGGACTTTTCGTGGGCTTGATTGGTGGCCGATTGCCGGGGGCGGCATTATGGTTATGACCCGGACTGCCCCATGCCACTCCCCCCGCACGCCCCTCTTTCACCGCCGGCAAATTGAATTCCAACGAATGTTTAATGAAATAAAATGCATGTTGTCGGGGCCCAAAACGGAATGTGATCGATTATCGGGAAATTTCTTTCAATAAGTGAATATGTCGATAAGTGAAGTTTTCAAATTGCTGGCTAATGTTGGACTTAATTGGTAGCTGGAAGTTTAGGGGGGTTTTAAAAAAGTCGTCGTGTATATATGGCAAGCATTAAGGAAGAAATGATTGGATTTTTGTATTATTATCAATCCGTTTTAGCCTCAAATGAGGTTATCTTATGGAGGTTTTAGTAATTGTACACTATAATCTGGCGATTTAGTTTTATTAACCTTTTATGTTATCATAATCTTTGTTATTACTACATTATCCCATGAAATTTAACCATATTTCCCATAAGATTATTTGATTTTTATTATTAAAATGTAATATTATATTATTATTTGATTTATCCTATAAAAACAGTATAATTATGATATATACCCCCTACCATCTCTACCTAATATCATTCATGGCTTTTTCCATCCCACTCACTTAGGCGTAAACCCCTTAATTTATGCATTTATGTTGCCGCCATCGCACTCACCTGCCCGATTTGGTAATGATCATCTCAGTGCCCAATTCATGGAACTTATCCCACAGCTCCTTGGTCTCCAGGTGGCACTGGACGGGCGTGAGATCGTCGCAGTTGCACGAGCCCACTATCTTGGGCGTGGGCTGCTGTGGGCGTGGCAATCGGAGGAGGAAGAAAAGAGGGAGGGGGTGAATTAAGAGGGGATTTTAATAGGACGCCCGAGGAGATGCGTTTTTCTTTCTGCACACTTTGTTGCGGAGGTGTACACCGAAATAAAACGAATGTATATGAGGGATTTTGATTTTAAAATTAATTTTGAAAAAAGTCCTCTATGCGATATTATTATTATTAAAATTTGTTTTGGAATACATTCCTTAACGCATTAATTTTAAACAGGAATGTAGGGCTTGCAGAAAAATATGTAACATTTAAAAAAGAGTTATATAAACCTATTCTCATTAATAAATTTCATTTAAAAGTGGTTTAATTTGACGTTAGGAAAATATTCTTTAAAACTGAGGATGAAGGGTATTTAATATCTACATTTAAAAGTAGTTTATAACAGATTTTTTAGCTTTCTTTAACATAATAATTTTATATTTACTTTAAACTATTTTTTAAAAGTATCTTTTGGATGTCTTCTGTAAGTATCATCACATTTCTTGGTGTATCCTTACCTGGGCTGGTGATTCCTCTGGCGACAGGCGTTCGAGTTCCTCGGGACTTTGCGAGGGCGGGGGCGGTGGTGGCGAGGGCGTGGCAGCGGTTCCAACTGCGGCAGCAGAACGCCCTCGATGGCTGCTTGATTTGCTGTTGCTGTTGCTGTTGCCTGAGTTGCTGGCGTTGCTGTTGCAGTGGTTGCTGCTGCTGTTGTTGCTATTGCTGTTGCTGCTGTGCTGATTGTGATGTTGGCGTTGTTGCTTGTTTGCCGTTGCGTGGTGATGTGTCTGCTGCCTTTGTTGTTGCTGCTGCTGCTGCTGTTGTTGTTGTTGCTGTTGCTGTGCAACACGCAATGCCTGACGCGCCTGTTGTTGCGCCTGCAATGCTGCCGCTGCAGCCGCTGCTGTTGCTGTTGCATTTGCTGCTGCAGTTGCCGCCGGCATTTCCGAGTCACTGCAGTCCACCACATCAACGTCAACATCAACATCATCGTCCACATCCTGGCCTGAATAGCGCTCCACGGATGCGGGACCTGCACGGTGAGAAATAAATATGGGAAAGAAATAAGTAACCAACGATATCCAGAAAATCATAGTAATAAAGAAAATAGCCCTATGCTTTGAATGAAAAAAGTATTCCCTTTTTTCATTTATTTCTATTGGTTGTATTGTAAAAATCTTTTACAGGAGTATATAGTTTTTTCGACTTATTGTCATTGATTCCGAGTTCTTAAAATTTAGGTGGAGAAATTTGTTGAGTTTAATATTTTTACATTAATGATTTTATGTATTTTACTTTTAGTGACTGAATAAAATACATTTTTAAAGTAAAGAAACTCCTATAGACCAGTAACACAAGCTTAAAAGGTTCATAACAATTAATACTCCGAAACTTGTTCCGAATAATTTTCTGCTACTTAGTTAATAGTCAATTTCCTTGAATGACTTGTTCTAAACCCTCAATTTTCGCAGTGCATATAGAAAAGAGAGACATCAAAGTGGCTCGTTAATGTGGGAGTTGCTGCTGGGCTGCAACATGTTGCATGTTGTCGATGACGAGTCGCAACAGCAATAGCAACGAGAATCCAGTTCGCGACCAGATGCATTTTGCAGATAACGCCAAAAATTCAATTATTTGCTCAAAATGCAATTTCATATGTTAATTTCCCGTGCATTTGTGTGTGTTTGGCATTGCCAATGTCAATTGCCAATTGCAAAAGGGGCGGCCTGTAAAAGGGGGCTTTTCACACTAATGAATGCATCTGTTTGCGCTTCTGTCTCTGCCCAATTATGGCATCTAAATAGTTTTGCATTCAGACTACACATATATAATCGATTATATATCTCTGTGCGCGGTTGTCATGTACATTTGCCATTTCCCCCAACCCCCGCGCATTCAAATAGGCTTTGATTATTTTATTGCCGCGCATTTGCTGCAATTATCAAGTCATCAACGTTGCATTGTCATCAATATATAATTTATATAGCAGAAAAAAGGCGGGCAAAAAATGCGGAAAATATAGAAATATAATGCAGCTGCGACACTTTTTCAAAAGGGTGAATAAAAAATGGGAGGGGGAGCATATTACTAATCGATTAAATGAGTTTTTGCATCGGCCAATCATTACAGATAGGATTGTAACCTATATTTTTATAAATATAAATAATGAAAAGTGAATTGCATAAATTTAAAAATTGATTAATTTTGAATTTTCTTTGCCTACTAACCTAATTTTTACGATTTTTCTTTTATGAATTCTCGACCACTTGAAGTTTTTCAGCTGGAAACATATTGTCTTGGCAACGCCTTTTATTTCTATTTCGGATTTAAACAGAACAACAGTTCAAGATCATTTTTATTTTCATTTTATACTTTCTAATTCCTTTTTCTGTATCTTCCATAAACTTAAATCAGTTTAAAATTGTTCTTATAAATAAAACATTAGGTTGATTATGTTCCCTTTTCCACGCCTTCATTATTTCCTATCATTTAGCAACCTTTCATATTTTAATCCTGCTAGAAGACTTTATAAACGATACGCTGCTCGTGCCTTATTGGATCGTAAAACTTTATAGTTAAATCAACACACAGAACCAGCAACTTGCGATCAACATCAACATGTGTGATACGCTAAATTTATATTCTTTTCAACCTTTGGCCAGCCAATTTATTACACCCAATCAAAAGAATATTGAACATAATAATAAAGTGAAACTTGTTTGTAGTAAAGAGCAGGGTTCAAATCAAAAGAGGAATTCATGAATGAAGCTAGAGGCTCAAAAGATATTCGTTGATACCAAAAGGCCTCTTTATTCAACTAAGTTTGTTTTGGTGTTTTTTTTTATTATTGTATTAAATAATGACATTAAAGGGGGGATAAATTACCCTAAGCATACTAAGATATATCTACTTAAATAGAAAATATTTTGTATTTATCATGTACTAAACAAATACGTTGTGAGATATAGGTATCTAACGAGTTCTATCATATACTGAATAAATATTTTATGAGATATACTTAGGTTTATATTATAATATTCTGTACCAGGATTTATATCATACTCGGAATAGATATTTTGTGGGATTAATCCTTAATCCTAAATCCTAAATACCATGAGTTTTATCATAAACTGAATAAATATTTTGTGATATAAGGGTCTGTAATACAATATTCCCATCTAGAAGTTCTGTATTACATTGAAACTTTTGATGAAACCATCCGAAAATCAAGAGATAAAATGGATTGGCAGTCTGTCTATATTTAGTTTGGGATGTGGGGTCTGGACTTGGGGGTCGGGCATTACTTTACTACTCACTCAGACTCCGCTCCGAAGGTTCCCGGCTGCTCGGGGCGTTTCCGCCGCGCGCCATAATCGCCGCAATTGAGAAATCCGTGGCGAAGGAAATGTTGTGCTGATTGTGATTATGATGGTTGTTCAGCGGATGGTGATGATGATGCTGGTGATGATGAGTGCCCCCGTTGGCGATGTTCGCCGCTGCCACCGCCGCTGCCGAAACGATTTGCTGCTGCAACTTCGACTTGAAGTTCTGCGTTTGCGACGGCGAAGGCGATTGCTGCGGTTTCGTATTCGCCGGCTGGTTGCTCAAAAGCATTTTCGGGCTGAAATTTATGGGTATTACGACTCCACAGATTTTTCCAAATTTTTTTTGGTATATTTTCTCAAGAGTTTGTGACGTGTATCCTTGTCTTAATTGGGATTTACTCTTTAGGTGGTTTTGTAAATTTCAGTATTTATTACCCATCCTTGAATTCCTTAAGAACAGTTGCCTTATTTTGTTACTATACTCCTTAGTAAACAACAATCGTAATTTTTGATATGCCGGCTTTTTTCTATCCCCATTATATAATTTTTTTAATTTTTATCACTTTTCTTAGAATGTTTAAATACAGATTTAATGTATCGGGAATATTATTTTATTATTGTTTGGTAAACTTTTGGAATTTTAAGATCTGACATCCAAGCACTTTCAAAAGATTTTCAATATTAAGGTTTACTATTCAAAATGTTTTTGATTTAAAAAATGTATTTATATTTTTCCATAAATAAATAATATTCTGAGCTTGTGTGTACAGTATTTTGCAAACGTTTAGTATTTTTTTACGTTTTAGGAAACACTTTCTCGGCTTTACGACTTTACGCCCGTTTATGCGATCTCCGGTTCTCCGTGCTTTCCGTAATTTGCGTACTTTCGAGGTGGAAACGGGAAATTCCGGAGCGCCGTCGCTGCTTCACAGTCACGCAGCTGACCATTGAATGAATCCCAATTCGCTTTTCGCCATGTAAACGCCAAAAGCGCCAAAGCCAAAGCCAAAAACAACAGCAACAGAAAACCAACAAAAAACGCAACGCAAAAATCAACAACAAATACGAGGACGTCGGCAGCGACGCCGACTGCGACGTCGACTGACCCCCAAAACAGAAACAACAACAGCTGATGTGTCTTACGGCGAAAGGTTTTCAACACCACGTAGCGCAACGTAAAGGAACGTAAGGCCACATTTCCAGAGAACATGGCCCAAAACTTTCGTTACGTGACGTGGGCCAAACCGCAATTGAAACCGCAAAACGTATGGGAGAAAAAAAAAAGGTTTTCAATTAGGCTAGTGTGAGCGAGATGGCCCTACGATCAGCGCATTCCCATGCTGCTTGCAGCGACGCCAGCGTCGCGGGCATAACTCATTTCCATTTTCCAATTTTTCACTCAAAATAATGCCGGTCTGGCGTAAGAACGAGACAACCAGCTGCTAGGCCATTTTGAGCATTTTTTTGTGCTGCTATCTCTTTTGCTCTGCACACAGGGGTGGAGTTCATAAATTCGTCATTTTGTTTTTGGCTGTTGACAGTTCTTTGGGTGTTTTGTTGTTGTTGCCATGGTGAGTGCGAGTGTGTGTGAGTGGTTTTTGGTTGGAAGGGGAGGGGGTGTGCTCACCGCTTTTCGTCGACTATTTACGATTCTTCTCAACTCGGTCCGATTCCACTGCGTTTCGCCTCGATTATTCACCACACTCAATTGAGTGGAAAGGTGAGTGAGTTTATTTACTAGATACTTTTGGGGTTTTAGTGAAGTGAAAAGAGAGTTAAATTGAAATTAATTTTAATAATTATATTTTAAATTATTTTATAATAGTGATTCTAAGTTTATAAAAACTATTTTAAAAGAAATTAATAATTATTTATAAATAATTTAATTGTATAGAACTATATTTTTTTAAAATAACTATTATTATCTAATTTTAAATAATATATAATAAAAAAATTATATTATTATATTATAATAATAAAATTCTGCTTTTGTATATATAAAGGTCTTAATATATAAAAAATATTTTAACCAACATTTAATAAATTGAAATAGTATTCAAAATATATTTTATTTGTTCTTTGGACTTTCCATTTTTCAAAATCGTTCAAAAATTGGTTGTTTGTAAATAAAGTTTTAAGGAATAATTATTGGGTAGCTCTTTTACCACATTTAAGTTTATTTTTTGTAGACTATCATTATTTGCTCCCTTTAAATTTACCACTTCTGACAAGGAACATATAATTTTCCACGCCGCCGAAGGAAAAAACCATTTCCCCCATCCTGCGACAGGACTTATCTGAGAAAGTGTCTGGTGTGCTCGGTCCTCCAATTGAAAAATCATAATTGAATATCTGGGTTCCTGTCACTCCTCCCTTTTTCCGCCCACCAGCGTATGTAAATGTTTTTAATTTAAATGTTTGCTCAAAGGAAACAACAAAAGATGGTCGGGAAAAAAAATGCGACGATGGCGTGTGAACGCAGCAGAAAATTATAGACCCGGGGAAAAAAAATAGGGAAATGAGGAGGGGAAGCGGTTGGGGGGAGGGGATGGCAGGGCAAAGGTTCGGGTGGTGCCACCATCTTGTTTCCCTCCGTCAGACTTTTTTCACAATTCGTCAGCTGCGCCCTTCGTCCTCCCAGGATGATGTCCTTTTTTCCCCGCACTGAGAAAAATTCGAGATGTGTTCAATGGAAAAAAAACAGTATTCTAAAGTTTGGTAAGATACAAATTTTTAAATAAAATCATAGTTCAACTTTTAATTTACGAAAGTTCATAATAGATTATGTCAAATGATTATCCCAATAAAATAAAATAAAGAAAAATTAATACATACATGATTGAAACTATTTAACTCTTTAGATTTTAATTCCATTTAAAACCCGGTTTTTTAAATTCTATCCAAATCTATTTTTGTGCTTAAAATTGTTTCACAAGATTATCCTTTTTAAGGCTTGATATTTACCTTAATTCTTTTATTCCGATACTTATGTTTTGGGAATACTTAAGTAAACGAATCAGATTAATTGCTTTAAAGTGAGTATTAATTTGTTGTTTTCAAATATGGGTCTTGTTTCAACACTTTTTTTTCTAGCACATTGAATATTTATTTTATTTAAATAATCATAAAGATTCCTTTTTACAATTCTTTAGACCAAAGACATCTATTCAATATTTTTCTAAGTTTTTATCATACATAATATATTATTTTTCCCAAGTGTAACCGTTGTTTTTGTGGCTGCGGTTTCATTTGCATGCGATTCGTGGTTGCCAGCCGATGTGGCGCACAATTGAGCCACTAATGGTGATGTTGATGGTGGCCAGATCGGTGGAGGGAGTATCTAGTATCTGGAGTATGCGGAGTATCTGGATTCAGACAGGGTGGGCCCTCAGCTCGCTTTGTTTGCTTTGTCGCGGCTCGGTGACAATTTTTCAATGATTTGTTTCCTGCCCTGAAATCTCATTTGCATATGCCACCATATTTTTTCAACTTTCCAGGTTCTTTTTTTTTGGTTTTCCCCCCGTTTTCTATTCCTGCTCCTGCTTCCTTTTTTATGTGTTTTCAGGGGGAGTGAAAAATTGCAATCGCTTTGTTTTTGTTTTCGTTGTGGGTTGGTTTCGGGCAATTTGAATTTGATTTAATGAAATTAAAAGGGCGTGTTCTCCTAATAGTCGTTTCCTTAAATAGTTTTCAGCGGTTTTCGTGGAAATCGGTGAGTTAATTAAGTTGGTAGAGTGTGGAAATGCGTTTCAGTTAATTGAAAAATAAAAACATTTTTCAAAGGCTAAGGGGATGGTTAAGGTGTGTTTTGTAGAGCTATTAAATAAAGCATTTGATCCAAAAATATTTTTAAAAATTAACTTCAATTTATATATTTTAAGCACAGCATTTTAACTAGTAATACAAAGATTTTAACAAAATATTATGACTTAAAGACTTAGAAATATTTTTTATGGGAATAGATTTATTATAATGTGAATATAAATATATTTTTGAATTATGATTCTACATTTTTTTCAATTTACAATTTATCAAAACATGTTTATTTAAATAGGAACAATACTTCCCAGAAATATCCTGAACCATCTTTCCTTTAGTAACCCATAGAACCCACTAAATTATGCCTTGAGTTATTTGCATAATTTCGCTGCATGTCGCATGGCTGTCGAAAATTCAAAACAAAGCACTTCAAAGTTATTTATGAACAACATAGGAAAAACCTATGACTAATTCCGGGGAAAGAAATCAGAAACTCTAGGCAATGTAGGGAAATATTGGGACGCAGCGGAAAAGCCAATCAACTACGTATCTCTAGAAGCCATTGCGGTTCTCATTTCCTATAACCGATTTGATATAACCTATGTATTCCTATTTTGTTTACGCTTTGACGGGATTACGGCAAAGTCGCTTACGGAAAGCCGCAGAATGGAGCCCTCTGTGTCCCAGTGGCTATTAGTTTTTATTCGGGAAATTTCACTATTTTCCTTGCGTTTGCTCCTTTTGCCTACGTGCACTAAATGGCCAATAAGCGGGGTGGCGCTGGGAAAGCGGGAAAATGGGAAAAAGGCGGAAACTAAGCCGCCAGGACATGGGCATCTAAATGCACATGGCGGCCATATTGTGCCAAAGGATATATCAATTTTATTGCCGCCCGAAATCGAAACAACATGTGTGTTCGTTCGTATCGCTTCTATATTTTTTTGCACTCCTCCCGTTATTGTTGCATACAAATTGCGTAGCGAATTGTTTTGTTTTTTTGCTGTTTCCTTTAATCCTTTGCATCCCAGGCAAACAGAAAAATAATAATTGCGAACAATTGTGTTTTATGGCCATTATGGCATCCTTGAGCCATAAGAGATCTGCAGAGGAAAGTGGGCGAAGTGCGAGCGGAGCGTGTCACCCGAAGGCAGGTGCGACCCAAAAGCCAAGGACACCGGCAATTATCCTTGGCAGAGGAATCGGAGTGGGAATCGGATTCGGATTCGGCGAGGGAGTCGGAGTTCCATAGGTCCAGAATCCCCGACGAGCGCAGCGAATCAATTACGCCGCCAGCAACGAGATCTCTGCCTAATTTGATTTCATTACCGCGCCCACAACTGCAAAAAATATTGCACTTTAAACCAAGAATTTTAAAGAAACATCAACAAAATAGATCAGTAATTATAATCAGCAAGTCAAAAAATGGGTTAATATATTATCTAGAACAAGATCCCTAAATTTTAAGTAAAAGAATGGGTATTTTTTAAAAATATTTGTGATGAGCCAGTAAAGATATTAGAATAAATAAAATAGAAATGGATACAATTTTAAACATTATTTTGAACGATGGAAAATACATTTTATAGATTGTTTAGGCTATTTTATTTTTATAATTTTTCAAATAATATATTTTCTGATAACAGTATTTGCTAAATTTATGTTTAGACAAAGTGATTCTACCAAAGATAATATAGACTAGAAAAGATAATATAGAACTTTTACTCCTGGTTACGCATCTTTATATTTTATAAATATTATGGGATGTTTCTTAAGATGCAAACTAATAAAATTAAGTATCTTTAGCACTTTTTCCCCAGTGTAGGCAAAGCAAATCCTTTTGGCCATGTCCAGGGCGGAGCTGTGCCGAGCTTAATGCGAAAATTAATCGAATCGGGATCGAAGCGGGCCCGCAGCACCGGCAACGCCCAC